AGAGAAAGAGAAGAGTGAAAGAGAAGAGAAAGAGAGAGTGAGAGAAAGAGAAAAGAGAGTAAAAGAAAGAAGAGAGAGTGAAAGAGAGAGAGTGAGGAGAGAGAGAGATCAAAGGGAAACATACTTTTATTTTGTTATTTAAATGCATTAACATATAGAAAAATGTATAATATTTGCTTTATTAAATCTAATCATTTGGTAGAAAGTCTTATTATAGTTTAGCATCATCAATGGTTGAGAATTAAATACTTTTTAAAAAAGAAAAAGGAAGTTCTGAGAAGAAATGCATTGTGTATAGTGCTTTTTTTTGGGTTACATAGTAATATATCATCTGCTTGGGGATTTCCAGGTCGAGATAACTACAAGGACCCAATGTATCTAACATCAGATCGATACTCTCTGGGCAACAACGCACGTCGCGCTTCTGACTCCACCATCACTCACATTAGCCTCTCTAATATATATCAAGAATTCCAGAAGCTGCAGGTAAGGTTTTGATATCCTATTTGAATTTTTCGTTATTTATTTATTTTTTTTATTATGATTATTTTTTTCTTTTTCTTTTTTTTTTTGAGTGATTATATGATTTCAGTTAGTCTTTTTCGTTCCTTCATAATTTTTGTGGGATGAACTTTTTCTGTTTGATGATTAGTACATGCATTTTAGATCTGTATTGCCTTGTTCATTGACTTACACATGGATGCTTACCTCTGAGGCTTAATTTTGCTGTTATAGAAGCAAATGATAACATTGTTTACTGCAAAATTGAGAACCAGTTTTTCTGTGTTGACTGTAATTTTATCATAGTGTAGTATTCTTCTTGGTGTTTTATCACTTTGAAAGTTTTCATAACAGCTTTCCATAAAGAAGTATTCCCAGCTCACTCAGACTTTATCAGCAGGTTGATGTGGAGGAATGCAGTTTACTAATTTTGGCAACAATGTTTTTGTATATACCCTACGTAATCTCTGGTGCTACTTTAGAGCGTTTGTTGTTGGTGTCTCTTAGTAATTGAAATTATTTCATTTGATGTGAAGAACATAGAGATTGAAGGGTTTTGTGTATTTTTTTCTTTTATATTTCTTATAGGCTTTTGATGGTTTGAAAACCACAGTGATCTGTGTTACTTGCAGATTAAGGAGAAATCAGAGGATGAGTGAGCTATTATGAATATTACATCTGTATCATATGATTCAAGTGTACTTTAAGGTAAAATGTATGTTAATTCTCTCCTGTAGGATGACAGTAACACTTTTGTTTGTAATATGCACTGGTGCCTCAAAGGTTGGTAGCTCCATTTGTGACAGTAAATGATATATTAGAGTTAGATGGCTTGAGAATTCTCAATTCACTTTTGTGAAAAATTGTAAATGCAGGATATCATCCTGGAATGTTTTGATTATACATTAGAGTTTTGACAAAGAAAGAAATAAAGACATAGTTCAAAGTTTGATTTATGAAGCTTGCAAATTATTGAATAGCAGTCACAAAGGCAGGCTAGATGTAACCAAATGTAATGAAAAACTATTTTAACAAAATCTGTAGTTAATTGGTAGCCTTGAGGTCTTCTTGGTCTCAGGTTTACAAAAGCAGGGAAGTATCTAATACAACATACATATATACCGCACGAGCTGTAGCTGAATGATATCTATACAAGATTGTCAGTTGCCTATGCTTCTCTCCTTAAAGGGACTGTCCAGTGGGGAGAGAGGGGAATTAAGTAGAGTTGATAAAATTACCATAGAGATGATTTCATCTTGCAGAATTTTTTCAGTATTTTTGTGGTATTATTTTGCCTTTCTTGAGGCCAAGTTTTGGAAAATACCTATATCTTAACCCCAGTCCGCCAGGCATGGCATGTACATACATGCCATTGTCCATTGCGTGTGTTGAATTTAGTAATTGTTTTTACATATAGATGGCTCCACAAGTACTAAGTCACCAATGAGTCAGTTACGCGGACTACGTCTCACTTGTTTACCCTTTTCCTTGATTTTCGATAATATTTTCTAATATTTAATACTGCTGTTGTAATGTCAGTAATAATATAGTAATTATAATGTTTATAGCAAAAATAACAGTGTCAATATTGATAGCATCAGTAAAAAAAAAGCGTTTTCCCGCTTTTTCAAGGAAAAGAGAGGTCACAAGATCTACTAATTGACTCCTTTGTGGTTAAGCATTGGCAGAGCCATCTTTGCACGTTGGGTTAAGGAAGTTACCCCCCCCCCCCTTTTTTCCTCCTCCATATCTTTGTGCATTCTCCAGCCCATATAGCTAAGGGAGCCAATTGAATGACATACTTGAAGAAATGCTAATATCTCTATATATACATATTTTCTAAATATGTATATATAGAGATATTTTTATTAAGAGGATCGTCTACCAATTTTTTTAGCCAAGATCTTCCACCATGCCAATTTTGAGTTATGCGTTTCCAAACAGTTTCAGTTTAAGGCGCATTCGCTATTTTTAAGGTGGTAGCAGCAATTTTCAACGTCCACGAAATATGATATTTCACCTTACCTTAGAAAATTGGTAATTGTGACGTAACAATTAGATATGATAAAAAAAGAGATGATTTTTCAGAGAGCTCAATAAATTTCACAATATATGAGACCAACCTTCATTTTTTGGGAATAACCTAAAAAATCTGTGAAATGTTTTAAAAATAACTAAGAATTTTTGTTAACATCTACAAAAAAAAATTTATGACGTTCATATAGAGTATTTTATTTTGTTTATGTTTGGATCATATTTCGTCGGTTTCATCCTTCAGGAAATGTTTTGAATATGCAAGACCCCATAACTTTTTAGGTTAGAAAACAAAAATCCTGGATCTAGATCAGGATCCAGATCACCATCAAAATGTAACAGCATCTATGTTAGGCTAAGACAAGCCTCTGGTAAAAATCTCAGTAAAAAACTGTTCATGATTATATAAGTTACCCTTGTAACAATAATATAAACAATTAAACAACAAGCA